TACCCTACCCTACCCTACCCTACCCTACCCTACCCTACCCTACCCTATTCTATTCTATTCTATTCTATTCTATTCTATTCTATTCTATTCTATTCTATTCTATCCCATATTCTATTCTATCCCATATTCTATTCTATCCCATATTCTATTCTATGCTACTCTACTCTACATTATTGTATTCTGCCCTATCCTACCCTACCCCATTCTTGCCCTACTCTATTCCTTATTATATTCCAAATCCTATCCTATCCTACCCTCAACCTAGCACCAAGGAGATTAATTGAAACTTGCTGCAGATTCTCCTTTCAATTTACCTCTCCAAACCTATTTTGCACCTTAAGGCGTCAAATTAAGTTTGTCAGATCGTGCCAGTTGGGTGAAAATAATTATTGCATCAAGAATACAAGTCAATTTGATCAATTGTTCCCAGAGATTCATGGATTTGTTGTAACCTTGTTGTGGTTGTAACCTCACCTGGACGAATCACTAAAGATGGTGCGTATCAGAGGTGGTGTTCAGCAGGTTCTGACCAGTTCTGGAGAACCGGTAGTGGAAATTTTGAGTACTTCGGAGAACCAGCAAATATCACTTCTGACTGGAGCTTTACAGTATCCTTCCCCAAGCCTTGCCCACAGAACCGGTAGTAAAAAAATTTGAATCCCACCACTGGTGTGTGTGTATGTATGTATGTATGTATGTATGTATGTATGTATGTATGTATGTTATGTGTGTATATATGTAGAGGACTCTATCGGTAATAACTATAAACTTGAAGGCAATAAACAATGATTTGAGGACAAGCTTTCTTTTTATAATTGGGAAGGAGTTATCCCATTGCATCAAACAGTTTTGCAGCATACTATTTCTTTTTATAAACAGGTTGTTCCACGTCTTTTTGCATGTTATCTTGAGCATATAATTCAATGGGCAAATAATATGAGGACATATTATTGCTGTCTATCTAGGAAGGCTTTGATTCACCTAGAGCCAAAACTGGCAACTATACCTGTCCAAAGCTTTCTCCCAGAGTTTTAACCACACTGGAGATATTAGGGATTATCCCAACGCACGATCTCAGTTTTACCCTTAGACCATTGGGTTCTTTTTTGTAATCTACCAGGAAAGCTAGAAGGTAAGGCCTTTTCATCCTAAAAACAAGAACATTCAAATTAAGGAGGCATGTAAGAAATTGCTTCGGGCTTCATCATACAATGAACTGTTTACACCGTACTTTTTTGTGTTTTCAGCAAGAATCTTTCCTCAAACACGCCAGGAGCCAAATTCAGCCAAGCAGAATTTAAAAATTCAATCTAAATGAACAAAGGCAGCACAATCTTTTTAATGGGGATGCTGAGGCCTTAACAACTATCTACGCATCTGTTTTATGTTTGAAATTAAAAGCAGTTTGATTCGATGCCATCGTATTTGTTTCCTTACTCTTTCATCAGTGTGTTTCATGGAATGGTTTGTTCTAGCATCGAAAATTTTACTTTAAAAAGAAATCCTCGCTAGGAAGACCACAATTCAGGTAGCATCCTTCCATACTGCAGAGTTAATACAAGTATATTCTAACATTTATTCAAAAATCTGGGAAGTACATTATCATCTAACTAAATGTTTGATCAGTAAAGTACACAACATTAAAAGGTGTGTGTGTGTGTGTGTGTGAGTGACAGAGGGGGGAAGGGAGGGAGGGAGAGAGACAGAGAGATAAAACAGTTATATAATATATAAATAATAGCAGTCTTCCAATATCTCAGGGGCTGCCCCAAAGAAGAGGGACTCAAGCTATTCTCCAAAGCACCTGAAGGCAAGACAAGAAGCAACGGGTGGAAACTAATGAAGGAGAGAAGCAACTTAGAACTAAGGAGAAATTCCTGACAATCAGAACAATTAATCAGTGGAACAATTTGCCTCCAGAGGTCGTGAATGCTCCAACACTGGAAGTTTTTAAAAAGATGTTGGATAACCATTGTCTGAAGTGGTGTAGGGTTTCCTGCCTAGGCAGGGGGTTGGACTAGAAGACCTCAAAGTTCCCTTCCAATTCTTCTATTCTATTCTATTCTATTCTATTCTATTCTATTCTATTCTATTCTATTCTATTCTATTCTGTTCTGTTCTGTTCTGTTCTGTTCTATTCTATTCTATTCTATTCTATTCTATTCTATTCTATTCTATTCTATTCTATTCCTATTCCTATTCCTATTCCTATTCCATTCCATTCTAATATATAACATACAACAGTTCGTTTAGTGACTATTCAAAATTCCAACGGCACTGAACACAGTGACTTATGACCGTTTTTCACACTTACAATGATTGCAGCATCCCCATGGTCAAATGATCAAAATTCAGACACTGGTCAACCAACCGACTCATATTTATGACGGTTGCAGTGTCCTTGGGTCAAAAGTCCCATTTTGCAAATTTCTGACAATCAAAGTCAAGGGGCAAGCCAGATTCACTTAACAGCTGTGTCCCTAACTTGTGGCCAGAAAGGTCATAAGATGGGGAAAAACTTTTAAAATAAAATAAAAATATCTACATATTAAAAAGGGATGAGCTCAAACCTCCTGAGTTTTTTTAATGAAGAAATTAACTTTAAAACTAAAGAAAGAGAGGTCAGCAGTCTCTATTTCTATATCTTCTACTTATGTTCTTCTTACCACCAGATGTGTGGGGTTTTCATTCCTACACATTTGGGAATTTAGGGGAATTTAGGGTGGGACGGGACCATTGGGCCTACTCAATGGGAAGACACTTCTGATATGTGCAAGAATACCTCTGAAGTCATACCTTGGGACTGCAAAGTAAGGAAGCATTTCAACCTCGCGAACAGAGGGTCGAATTAATCAAATGTTTGAATTTGCACAGACCTCTCGTTCAGGATTAGGTTGGTAAATATATACCTAACAGGGGAAACTGTGAAGTGTTCACACACACCAGAGGATGTTAATCTAGGAAAGGTAATTGTTGAGAAAAACTAGGCTATCTCCTAGTGAGAGAGAGAGAGAGAGAGAGAGAGAGAGAGAGAGAGAGAAGCTTTTGTGAAAACAGGGGAAAATGTGAATGAAACTAATTGGGCCTTTCTGAACGCTAATCGTGAAAGGAGTTAGAGATTTGGCTGACCCTTCCAGAAAAGCAGAAGCTGAGAATCCAACATGAATCCAATTAACTAGGATACGATTTGCTTTGCTGAGATCTGTTTTCATTCTTTCAAAATGTTCCAAAACTGATACCAGATTGTCTGGAGGAATGAAGGCTCGGTATGCAGAAGACACTCACAAAGCGTTGGCTTTAACAATTTCAACTTGTCAGGAAGCAAAGTTGGCTTAATCCCATCCCCTGTGTTTGAGTCAAATGCAGGGATTCATTTTTAATTCCTTAATCCCGGATTCTTGAATAAATGAGGGGACCGTTGACTGATTGATGCCCCAGTTATGGCTGCGCTCAAGCTTACACTAGAATGTGTATTTCTCTACCATTTTTGAACAAGAATTAAGGAAGATAATATTCCAGGTTTCCCTTGCATTCCGGAAAGGTGAGACATTTAACCAATCTCAGTTATGAGTATCGTTGTTCAACCAATTTCGGCCACATGGCTTAATAATAGGAGCTAATGATGCAATCGTCCCAGGTTAAAATTAGAATCATAAAAAGAAGCAATAAAAAGCTCTCAGGTCAGTTCATTTCACCCCAAGACAGAAGCTGCAAATTTCTCCTATTGTTTGATGAAGCTAATATAGGGCTTGGAGGATACATGCTGAATTATGCCTGATAATAACTATCTCTCTCGCTGAAGGATGTTCGAGAATGGAAACTGACCTAATATAATTTCAGCACCCTGGACAGCAGATGGCCTGGCTCAAAACCTAAGCAGGCTTAAGCTCGGTTGCTATTTGGATGGGAGATGGGCCAGGGACCCCACAGCTGTCGGATAGATTGGGGAACCAAAAACACTTCAAAAGAAATGAACATCAAATCACTTCAACACTGATTGCCAAAAAAAAAATGCAAGTAAGGTCAGATTTCCATTTTATGAAATGTGAATGAAACTACTTGGGCCTTTCTCTCTGAATGTTCATCGTTGACTGACCCTTCCAGAAAAGCAGAAGGTGGGAATCCAGCAAGACAATTGTGGAGTGAGTTTTGTCCCATTTCATGATGTTTCTTGCCACAGTTGTTAAGGAGTTTTGTTTGTTAAAGTAAATAAGTGAATTTGGCTTCCCCATTGACTTGGCTTGTCAAGAGGGTTGCAGATGGTAATTACATGACTCTGGGGTGGCAATGCAACAGTCATAAGTACATGCCAGTTGCCAAGCATCTGACCTGTGATCACGTCACCACAGGGATGCTGCAGTGGTTGTAAGTGTGCAAAACAATCTTCAATCACTTTTTTTCAGTTACTGTTGTAACTTTGAATAATTGCTAAAACAGTTGTCAATTGAGGTCTACTTGTAATATTTAAATAATACCACACACCGCTTTGATGTACATTATTGGTACTGTACATTATGGGTGCTTTCCTAGAGAATGCATCTCGGTGTCACCGCAACGTAAAAATTCTTCTCGGAAATGCAAAGCCCCAGTTCCGTGAAGCTATGCAACTCTTACACAACCCACACAACTAGACTGCCAAAGCCTGAGGGACATTTGAGAGCTCAGAACCATGAAATGCAAAAAAGAAACAAATATATATGCCTTTCCTAGAACCTGGCTTAGGTTTCTTGATGAGTAGATCCTTTTGATCCACCTTTGCATTTACAAAAAAAGATTCTCCCAATGTCCCCTAGTAACCTTCACTGGAGCCCACACCCTTGCTGGAGGCAAGAGATTTTGCCCGGCCTGGCTGTGGTGACCTTGGGGAAGCTCATCTGTATGCAAAGAAGCTGAATTATCGAAAACAGATGTCAGTGCCGGCAGGAGGCCCAGCCCACTAAAGACGGATCATGGGGAACTAATGCCATTCTTGGATGGCAAATAGCCTTTTGTTCCTTTCCCCGCTGCCGTGAACTTCTTGGCATGCAGCCACATAGCCAAAGGGGCTGCCGGAGCCATGCAATGGCTGCTGGATCAGCCCCCTCCGCAGCTTCAATGCCTCCATGCTCCAGGTCTTCTCTGCCAGCTGACAAAGCATGCAGTCCAATCTTTTAGGGTGGGTGGGGGCTTAAGCCTGGATTCAAAGGCCAGGATGCTCTCCTGACCTGGATAGTGCTGGCTTTAGAATCCTGCAATTGCCAGTAATGAGGAAAGAAGGGAAGGGGAGGGGAGGATGAAGAAGAGACTAGGAGGGGAGGGAAGGATAGATAAGACAATAGGAAGGGAGGGGAGGATAGACTTAACTTACCAAAACCTCCCCACAATATTATGAGAATCCTTCCCTCATTGTTCAATGACCTGACATGGTGCTTGACAACATTAACATAATGGTGCTAAAACAAAAACTTGCTACTTGGGAAAGGAAAAGCCAGATTACCTTCTGACAACCATCAGAAACAGACAGTGAGAGAAAGAAAGGGAGGGAGAGAACAACAGGTAGGGACAGGGGGAGAGAGAGAGAAGGAAGAGAGAGAGAAAGAAGGAAGAGAGACAGAGAGAGAAGGAAGAGAGATAAGGAAGGAAAGAAGAGAGATAGACACAGAGAAAGAAGAGAGAAGAAAAAGAGAGAAAGAAGAGAGAGACACAGAGAGAACTAAGAGAGAAGGAAGACACAGAAAAGAGACAGAGAGAAGGGAGACAGAAAGAAGGACAAGAGAGAAGGAAGAAAGACAAAAAGAGAGAGAAGGAAGAGAGAGAGAAAGAGAGGGAAAGAGAGAAGGATGAGAGAGACACAAAGAGGCACACAGAGAGAAATAAGAGAGAAGGAAGAGGAAGAGATAGAGAAAGGGAGAGAGAAAGAAGGAAGAGAGAGAAGGAAGAGACAAAGAGAGAGAGAAGACAGACAGAAGGAAGAAAGAGAGAAACTGAATATTCACAAATTTCCACCGCCTGTCTCAGATTTGCATTTTTGACAAGGAGAAGCTTTCCATCAACCGGGAAATCAGACGGAACGAAGAAGAAGGAAGCTTATTTCAAAACATTTATTTCTCTCCAGTCGGATTCACCGGCAGTTCAGCCTCGCTTTGCACCTTCCATAAAACAAGCCAAAGGCTTCATGTGTCACAATAATCACACACACACACACACACACACACACACACACACACACACACACAGGCTTATTGACACCAAGAACCAGGCGTGAGCCATGCAACTTGCATCAAGAAAAAGAACAAGGAAAAGAGAAATACGCTGCAAACCAACCAACAGGTTGCTTTTCAAGTCTCAAGACCTCACATTGTCTTCCCAGAAAAGCTGAATATGATCAAAAGGGTTTTAAATGCCCTAAAATATCTCTGTTGTTTTTTTAATCTCCTGAATTCTTCTCCACACATGGGCAGTTCTCCACTTACGACCGCAACGGAGCCCCAAATGTCTAAGCAAAACATTTGTTAATGGAGTTTTCTCCCATTTTACGACCTTTCCAGCCACCGTCGTTAAGTGAATCGCTCCAGGTCTTAAGTTACTGACACAGTGGTTAAGGGAATCTGGCTTCCCCGCATTGACTTGGCTTGTCCCAAGTGTCTGAATTTGGATTGCGTGACCAGCTGTGGTGATGCTGCAACGGTCGTAAATGTGAAAAACAGTCCGCTTTTTATCCTCAGTGCTCTTGTAACTTTGAACAGTCACTAAACAAACTGTTGATAAGTCCAATGACTACCTGTATCTTCTCCACCTCACAGCCTTGTCCATCTACATTTTTTTCCTCTCTTCAATGGATTTGCTTTGACAATGTACCTCTGTCCCTGGAAGCCTTTTAACCTGTAATTTCTACCTGGTCTCTTCTCTTCTCTTCTCTTCTCTTCTCTTCTCTTCTCTTCTCTTCTCTTCTCTTCTCTTCTCTTCTCTTCTCTTCTCTTCCCTTCCCTTCCCTTCCCTTCCCTTCCCTTCCCTTCCCTTCCCTTCCCTCCCCTTCCCTTCCCTTCCCTTCCCCTCCCTCCCCTCCCCTTCTCTTCTCTTCTCTCTTTCTCACACACACACACCGCCTTCTTTCTTGCAGTTAGCAAAACAGACAAACGACCTTCTGAAATAATTACTCCACCCAGACAGAATGCTGAGCTGCTTAATTATTGTGAGCAACTCAATTGGTTAAGGGCAGAAACCTCTTTGGTCTGCAAATCTTCCAAGTTTCCCAGCTCCCTCCCTCTCTCTTTCGCTTTCTCTCTCTTTCTGTCTCTCTTTCATTCTTTCTCTCTCTCTCTCCTTCTTTCACCCTCTCTTTCTTTCTCATGCTCCCCTTTCTTTTTCTTTCTCTCTGTCCCCCCTCTCTCTCCCCTTCTCTTCCTCTCTCTCTTTCTCTCTCCCTCTCTTTTTCTCTCTCTCCTTTTTTTCTCTCTCTCTTCTCTCTCCCTCTCTCCCCCTTTGGCTCTCTTTCTCTCCAACCCTCTCTCTTTCTCTCTCTCTCTTTCTCTCTTTCCCCTTTTTCTCTCTCTCCCTCTTTCTCTCCCTCCCTCCCTTCCTCCCTCTCTATTCCTATCTGTTTTTCTTTCCTTCTCTCCCCTTCTCTCCTTCTCCCCTTTTTTCTCTCAACCTCCCTCTTTCCCTTTCTCTCTATTTCCCTTGCCCGATCTCCCTTTTTCTCCCTCTCTATCTTTCTCCCCTTTTCTCTCTCTCCCTCTCTCTTTCCCTCTCTTTCTCCCCTTTTTTCTCTCTCCCTCTTTCCCTTTCTCTCTCTTTCCCTTTCCCCTCTCTCCCTTTCTCTCTCTATTTCTGTCCCTTTCTCTCTCTCCCTTTTTACTCTCTGTCTTTCCCTTCCCGCTCCTTTTCTCTTTCTATTTCTCTCTCCCTTTCTCTCTCTCCCTCTTCTCTCTTTCTCTCTTTGTCTCTCTCTCCACATTATTAATTAGAATCCATTATTATTATTATTATTATTATTATTAATTAGAATAACTGTTGAGGTCACAGGCGTCTGCTTCCTCCATGCTGCACATCAACACCATGGTTCCTTTCAGGGATCTTTTCCCCTAATTATCCCCCAGGGGATACCAAGGTCAACAAATGTCCTGGACCCCCCACTCAAAAAAAAAAAACCAAAAAAAAAACACCTGCTGTTTTTCTAACATGACACAAATAGCCTTAAGGTTTGCAGGATCATCAGTCTCTCTTCGCAGGGGGTGGTTGGTGGGAGAGAGAGCTGAGAAAGGAACTGGCTGACTCAGCAGCCAACCTGGAAGAAAACTCATTGTGCCAGCTGTCATTTTCACAGCTGTCTCTCACCCGTTTGACTCGCTCAACTCTTCAGCCGGTCATTGAAAGGCCAACGAATCGCAGACGGAACCGAGCAACCCCTGAGCCATGAACTTGCAAGTGTATCTTTGTGGAGACAGAGCCGGGGTGGGATTCAGCTGGTATGGACCGGTTCGGGCAAACCGGTAATTCCAGTGATGAGTTGACCCATAGTCTGTCCTATATTTCCGTGTTTTGACAGCCCAGCCGATTTGTGTGGCACAGCAGTTGTTTTACTGACCGGGGCTGAAGGTAAGTTTTAGAGCTGAAAATAGGTGGGTTTTCAAGTGCTGTGTGCACGGGCAAAGCACACACTCGCCAAACCGGTTGTTACACCAGTTTGTCATGAACTGGAATAGATCTTAGTAACAAGGTCAGCCAATGAGAGCTGAGTTGAGGGCTGAAACGTAAAGAGAGAATCTGGGCGTGGTTTATCTCTGTTCTGTACTCAGTTCTACAGTGAAAGAGAAACTAACTTGCTTGCTTGCTGAAAACTAGAGCTCTGCTCTGAACCTGTAACATGTCTGCTTCTGTTTGAGTTTGCTCAATGTTGGAGAAATCTACAATTGGTACTGTAAAGTTTACTTCATATGTTTATAAAGAAGTTAAATGAAGCCTCAGTCATCTGTGTTTACTTTTTTTGGCGCTGAATGTATGCTGCAATACTATGAACACCGTGAATCCCACCACTGGACGGAACCCTTTCTCTGCCACCACCACTACACACCCATTCTTTCCATCCTCCGTGGTCTTGCTTGACTTCTCCCCCCCCTTTTAATCAATCTGCAAGGCCTGTCCATTCTCCAAACTCAACATTGCTTCTCAGAAGGAAGTTGTCTTGCACCGAGGCTGCATTGTGCCCTGACACCCTTGATATTGCTTTTCAAGAATTCTTGACACTCAAAACCCACCGTCTACTTTTGTGTGTGTGTGTGTGTGTGGAACAGAAGAGAAACTTCAGGGCTTTCAACCCAAGGATGGGCAGCTTACAGACTTCAGTTGAAGCAAGGATGGGCAATGACCCCCGGGACACTGCAACCTTCGTAAACATGAGTCAGTTGCCAAAGCGGCTAAGTTTGGATCACATGACCATGGGGAGGCAGCAATGGTTGTAAGTGTGAAAAATGGTTGTAAGTCCCTTTTATAAGTGCTGTTGCAACTTTGAACAGTCATTAAATAATTTGTTGTAAGCCGAGGACTAGCTATCTGTATACTATCTTCCGCTTACTTCAATTTTATCCAGTGCCAAATGTCAAACTGAGAAAGAAGATTTAGGAAGAAAATTATTTCTTCCTCTCTCTCTCTCTCTCCCCCTCTCTCCTCTCTCTCTCCCTCTCCCTCCCCATCTCTCTCTCTCTCCCCTCTCCTCTCTCCCTCCCTTTCTTTCTCCCCCTCCCTCTCTCCCTCCCTCTCTCTCTCCCTCCCTCTCTCTAAATCTGAGCCTTGTTTGGAGGTTAGGCTGCTTATTTTCGAACTGCTCAGAAACTTTGGGGAAAATGGGGAATATAAAGAAGGAAAGATGAACATTTCAGATGCTTACATACACACCACCCCTCAAAAAGAAAAACACCTGCATTCGTCTACACACAGATGTATCCTACCCATTGTTCATAAGAAGATCTGGTGGGAACTAAGCTTACCTGAAGGTCATCTGGAAGACCTGCCCTTGATTGACGTGTTGGGTCCTGTTGTTGTAGCCATGAAGCATTTCTCCAAAGAGCGTGTCGTTGAAGTTCACATCTGGCTTCAGACACTTGGGACCCTCACAGATGTCTGATAACAGGAGGCAGGACTTGCCATCTGGAGCCATCTTATACTCCTCGACACAACTGAAAACCAAACACAGAGAAAAGTCCTCAGCATCGATTCACCGCACAACGGAACAAGCCAACTAACTCACCCATTTCATAAAATGCTCTATCAGAACTCTAACCTCATGCCTGCACCCTGCTATCGTTCAGTGCCAGTCTGCCCACGGACCATGGAAGGAGGGTGGAAAGGAGGGAATGGCTGGGGGGGGGAGCGAAACTGGTGAAAATAAGAATGCCTCTCAGAGGTGGCCCTTCAAGGTTGTTTCCCTGGGAGAAGAATGCAGCTGCAAGGCAGTTTACACTCAAGAGTGCCTGTTTCATAAACATCGTCTTTGGAATGGATTGGATGACGGGAGGATCAACATCTGCACCTCTATAACTGTCTGGTTTGGTTCTGTAACCCAACGAGACAGACACAGACTTCAGAGAGTAATTAGGACTGCAGAAAAAAAAACAATGGCTACCAACCTGCCTTCCATGGAGGACGTGTATACTGCACGAGTCAAAAAGAGAGCTGTGAAAATATTTACAGACCCCTCACATCCCAGACATAAACTGTTTCAACTTTTACCCTCAAAACGATGCTATAGGGCACTGCACACCAGAACAACTAGATACAAGGACAGTTTTTTCCTGAATGCCATCACTCTGCTAAACAAATAATTCCCTCAACTATTTACAAAGTCTGCACTACTATTACTGTTAATCTTCTCATCACTCCTTTATCACCCATCTCCTCCCACTTGTGACTGCATGGCTGTAACTTTGTCGCTTGTATCCTTATGATTTTTACTGACTGTTTCCTAATATGATTTGATTGCTTATTGTCCCTATGACTATTATTAAGGGTTGGACCTGATGATTCTTGATGAATGTATCTTTTATTTATGTACACTGAGAGCATTTTCACCAAGGCAAATTCCTTGTGTGTCCAGTCACACTTGGCCAATAAAGAATTCTATCTATCTATAGAGGGGAATCAACAATAGGAAGTGCCTAGCAGGGGGAAAGTTACACCTAGGGATTTGGCATGCAAACTTCAGTTCTGGCTTTGCTTTATTGTAACCCAATTGCCCTTTAGTAAACTATACCTTTATCAACCAATGGAGTCAAGGATGGTTCTTACTTAAAGGTACAAGTTGAGGCAGGACCGACATACTCACTATAGGTAATCAAATGGCAACAGGACAGGTCAGAGAGGATGTACTACTTGCTTAGATGTTCTCCATCCCTCCCCCACATTTACTATGTCTTCTTGCCACTGGTTATATGTTAATTAAATAAATATTAAACTCAGTTGCCTTTTTTTTCCCTCAGCACAAAAATAAATTAAAACAAGACCCAGGTCTAGGGTGCAGAATGACCCTCTGGCAATTTAGGTAGAATAAGAAATACTCTGAGGTTTTGAAAAATGGGGCTCTACTTGATGCATTTTCCTCTTTATCTCCCTTTTTTCTCTGAGCTGTAAAACAATTCCCACAAAACCAGGAAGTGCTGAACCCAACACCCCAGGGAACCGCAGCGAAGGGCTGCGACACAACAAAATTGCTGCCACCTGCGCACCTGGTGGTGTCAGGATTTGACAGATGTTTCATGGCGCCGCTTTTAAGGGAGTGCTTCTCTGGTGCAGAAAAGTACCCTTCGCGTTTTGCTGAAGGTCAAAAATGAAGTGGAGGCGCTAGATTTTGCCAGGAACTGAAGCAGCAAATAAACCGGAAGAGGAAATGCAGGGAAAGGAAGTATATTGGCACAGCTGTGTCCAAGAGAACAGTATTGAACAAAACACAAGAGCTCTTGAAGGTGAGAAATATCCCTTATTGGTGAATGTGTGAGCAGGGTGCACGTCGTGCGAAGAATGTGGAAGCCTCATGGAAACATGGACCCATGTTTACAAAATACTTCCTGGGACTATGCCTCCCCTGCCTACATTAACAGAAGCATAGAATCAAGTTCTATACAGAGACAGAGACAGATCTGCCTTCCGAAAATATTTAACTAGGGGAGGTTAAGCGTGAGGCTGTCAGGTTTTCTTGGAGAAAGTCTTTGAGAAACAGAGGGATGACAAAATCAGAAATGAAGAGGTGATAAGTCACTCATCAAAACCATAAAAAAAGTGAAAGTTAGAATATTTTGGGCATGTGATGTGACACCCAGAAAAATATGGCATACTTCACTTAATCCTCCAAGGAAAGATTGAAGGCAAACAAGGTCCAGGCAGAAGAAGAACATCAAAATCTAAGGGACTGGTTTAGAAGAAGAAGAAGAAGAAGAAGAAAGAAGAAAGAAGAAAGAAGAAGAAGAAGAAGAAGAAGAAGAAGAAGAAGAAGAAGAAGAAGAAGAAGAAGAAGAAGAAGAAGAAGAAGAAGAAGAGGAAGAAGAAGAAGAAGAAGAAGAAGAAGAAGAAGAAGAAGAAGATGATACAAGATCATGTGAAGTGTTGCTATTGCTTTGTAATGCCTTGGTAAGACCACATCTGGAATACTGCATCCAATTTTGGTCGCCACATTACAAAAAAGATGTTGAGACTCTGGAAACAGAACAGAGAAGAGCAACCAAGAAAATTAGGGGATTGGAAGCTAAAACATGAAGAACGGTTGCAGGAACTGGGTACGTCTAGTTTGATGAAAAGAAGGACTAGGGGTGGACCTGGTAGCCTTTAGAACATTAGCCCCTCTTTCTTACCCACAGAACATGTGGATGGTGCTGGAGGTTGGGTCCCACAGGAGAGGGAGAGTTTGCTGAAGGCACAGCTGCTCGCAACCACCATTGAAGCCATCTGAGCAATCAATCCCCTTTGAGTAGTCGTAGCAGCCGGTTCCATCTTTCATGGGTCTCAGGTCCTCAGGGCACTGCAGGAAGAAGAGAAGGAAAGGATAATTTAGGTGAGGTGGGAGACCATCGCGTTGGGCTACCATGGTGTCTGCTGATGTGGGAAGGGTGCAAAATACTGGCCAATGGGGGACAACGATCGTTGGTGGACCTGCAAGAAAATTCAGAACACAACAATGCGGTTCATCCTCCGAGACTCCATTTTTGTGGAAGGTTCTTGATTTAGTACCAACAAAGGAGAATATTTCTAGATCAGGATTAAAATGGAGGGAGGGAGGGATGCTTGGTGCTGTCTGAGATTGGTTGTTTCCTTGTTAGACGTTTCATCAGTTTGAGTAATGAAATGTCTGTAAGAAAACAACCAAGCTCAGAAAGCACCAAGGACTCCCATTCTTTGATTTGGCCCAACTTTGGGTGATTCATGGGGTTTTCCACACTTTTACAGAACTCTTCAGCACAACAGAAGCCACAGGGATCACCCATGCACCAATCAGAGCATTTGCACCAAGACAAATTCCTTGTGTGTCCAATCACACTTGGCCAATAAAGAATTCTATTCTATTCCACTCCATTCCATTCCATTCCATTCCATTCCATTCTATTCTATTCTCTTCTATTCTTTGAGTCAGTGGTAGAAGATGAAAAAAGTTCGGGCAAAAGGGATTGATCCCTTCATTCTAATTTCTAATTCCACCAAGCACCAAGGATTGTGTGCTTATGCACGCCCCTTAGGAATGGGGTGAGGTCATTCTTGTTCTTCCTTCGGGTGCTTTGGAGAATAGCTTGACTCCCTCTTCTTTAGGGTAGCCCCTGAGATATTGGAAGACTGCTATCATGTCATCCCTAGTCCTTCTTTTCACTAGACTAGACATACCCAATTCCTGCAACAGTTCTTTGTATATTTTATCCTCTTGTCCCTTAATCATCTTTATTGCACTTCTCTGCACTCTTTCCAGAGTCTCAGTATCTTTTTTCTACATTGTAGCCACCCCACAATGTAAAAACTGTGTGGCTGCCGCAATGTACATTGCGACAGACACCCAAGATGTTGGGATTCAAATAGAGCTGTTCTCATTTTCTAGCCAGGGAGCCCGGCCTCTCTTAGAAGAGCCCTTAATGCATTTATTCCCAGCCGAAAAATTGGACAGCGGTTTTTAATTTTAGTTTCCCAGCAAGCATTTTCCAATACTGAGTGGTTAAAGCGGGCATTCATCAATGCCCTCCCTGATTAAGCAGAACTCTTATCTTCCCTTCCAACCCCTCCTATTATTTACTTCTCTGAAACCTGTGGAAAAGAGGAAGGTGTGTGGAGTGGAATGGAAAGAGGGGGAAAAAAGACCACTCTCTTTGGATGATAGGAAGAAGGTAACCAATGGGGCTGAACAACAGTTCCAGCAAATGCGTGATGGGATTCCTGAATAGGAGCAAAAATCCCAGCTAGCGAGAAGGCAAGTTACAAATGCAAAGCCAAGCTGGAAAACAAACACATTTTAAATAATGATAATTTACAAACACATTTACATATTTGCAGCCTCTGACCGCTGGATATTTGACCATCGCTGTCTTCCAGCTCCTTCCAAGTTTGTGTTGTTTTTTTTAAAAAAAATGTTTGCACAGAACATATGAACTAAAGTCGCTGGGAGGCAGGCAGCATCTAAATGTAATTTATTGTTATTGTTCTTCGTACTTCTGCCAACAACTCATTGGAAATCCCAACCTTGTCCTCTGCCTTCTGAACCAGAACTGAGAATCCCAAAGACCCGCCAACCCCGTCGTAAATCACAAACGGATCTGGCCGGGCAAAGTTCCTGGCGTGATTTCAAGGCTTGCCATGATGTATTTATGGATTAAATAAACCCTGGATCATCGTGATTAACTTAATATCGGCAGAACTGTTTCCCGGTTCCAAACTGGGCAGTCTCTAAATTGCAAGCCAAGAGAGAGGGGAGAAAAAGTTTGAAGGAACTCTGACCTCGGGGAGTATATGGGTTAGAAATGTGTGGGGAGCAGATCAAGTGATTTTTCTTCTAGAACCACGAACTTGACTCCAATGACTTTGAATTCAAAGTTGGAAGGGACCTTGGAGGTCTTCTAGTCTAGCCCCCTGCTCAAGCAGGAAACTCTATGCCATTTCAGACAAATGGGTTGTCCAATGTCTTCTTAAAAACCTCCAGTGATGGAGCATCCACAACTTCTGGAGGCAAGCTGTGCCATCCATCTGTCTGTCCATCCGTCCATCCATCCATCCATTTATCTATCTGTCCATCCATCCCCCATCCATCCATCCATCCATCCACCTACCCACCCACCCATCTACCCATCCATCCATCCATCCATCCATCCATCCATCTACCCATTCATCCATCCATCTACCCACCCACCCCACCCATCCATCCTTCCATCCATCCATCCTTCCATCCATCTACCCACCCACCCACCCACCCACCCACCCATCCATCCATCCATCCATCCATCCATCCATCCATCCATCCTTCCTTCCACCCACCCATCCATCTACCCATCCATCCATCCATCCTTCCATCCATCCATCCATCTACCAATCCATCCATCCACCCATCCTTCCACCCACCCATCCATCCTTTCATCCATCCATCTACCCACCCACCCTTCCTTCTTTCCATCCATCCATCCATCCATCCATCCATCCATCCATCCATCCATCCACCCACCCATCCATCCACCCATCTATATCAGATGGGGTAGGACCTGGTGGCATCATGCTATCCATACTTCCGTCTTCTTCAGTTTTAAGCGTCCTTTCTTGGGAAGATAATGGCAACCCTACGAATGATCTCTGTGACTTCGTTGGTTGCTCCTACACGTTTCTCCTTCAGGGCTGGTGGAAAGCTAACCCGTTAATACCCATTTCCCAAGGCTGCCGATAGAATCCGATCGGTTGTGTGCTAGGATTGATCAGCCTGCTTCGAATGGCCGAGAAGCAATAATTACTGTGAGTTTTAATCAATCCTGCAGCAATTCAGTGGCGGTTCAATTTGTGATCTGCCTCTCTAGTGACATCAAACTAGGAGAGGACTAGAAATTATTAAAAAATCAATATTCTACTCAGCCAATAATTCTTCCAAGATAATCGCAGGTGAAGTGTTCTCTGTCAAGGCAGCCCTGCAGGAAACTTTCTCTGGCTGGCTGATTGGTATCAAGGAAAGACAGTCAGTTGTGGATCATTTATTTCTGCAAACTATCAAACTGAGCTGAGGAAACTGGGATGTAACAGCCGGCAGGCTGAAGAAACATCAAGAAAAGTCATTCTTGGGTCTTTGCAAGTGATGCAGAAAGCATCTCCTTGAGGTCCATTGGAGCTTCTCTAATATGTTCCTGCAACACATCCATCAGAAGGTCTGAGGCTCATTTGGCTTCAGTCAAAAATGTTGCAAATGGACTCTTCAAGGTCCTTTGAAACCAAGATCAAAGGAACAAAATGCAAAAAATGGCAAGGCCATTTGCTCAGAAACACAAACATCCCCGTTGTTCTCCGTGGTTTTTCTTGTTTTTTCTTCCCCGCCAAAAACAAAAGTAATTTCCATTAATGGCAAGAACATCATCGGATGCACTTCCTACTTTACGAAGACTTGGAAATGCTTGATTACAGGTGCTGTTTCCAAACATTTCGGGGAAATAAGTGAAATAAATTGCTTAAAAGGTTTTTTTTTTTTCCTCCCTTCTTCTCTCTCTGTCCTTTTTTTCTATTGAGCTTAGCTCTTTTTCTTATTAATCCAGAAAAAAAAAAAAAAAACTGGAATGGAATTGTAGGACGTTAGCACCCACCCCTCTCCTAGAAAAATGAAATATCCTAGAAAATATTAAAAGGCAGAATATTTCCCCTAAAAGGGAAGCAGAATCTTAGAGAGGCAGAAGTTTATGAAAAGGACAAAGGGAAAGCTCTTTGTCAAAGAAAGAAAACAATGGCATCCCTCTCCATCCAGACCCAGACAATCTGTTTAAAAGCTCCTGAAAATCCCGATGAAAATCCTCTCTTTGGTATCGTTTGGTGTCGAGCCGTAACATCTGCTACTACTATAAATTAACTCCATTGTCTATAAAACATCTTCCCTGGATGAACACGGACTAGCAGGGTAGCAGCTGAGTTTCAGAAACTGGCAGGCAGATTCCTAACAGGCGCCACAAGCTGAGTAGTAATGCTTGGGTAGATCCATCAAGAACGATAGCAACTAGGCGATGGAGTGGGGTGACCGGAAAAAAAAAAAATCTGCAGATTTTCCCAACCGCTTGTCTCTCAGTCGCCTTCGTCAGCGGGGACTGCTGTGGTTATTTGGGTCTGTTCCAAACTTTAAAAAGTCACTGAAATCCTGAGGAGCACATGTGATATAGGGAGTCTTCGACTTACGACCATAATGTAGCCAAATTTCTTGTGGCTAAGTCAGACATTGGTTTGAAGTGAGCTTCTCCCCATTGGACGGAACTTTCTTGGCACCGTCGTTTAGGGAATCACCGTGGTTGGTCAGTGAGGAGCCCAGTCGTTAAGTGAGTCTACCTTTCGCTTGTCAGAAAGTCGCAAAAGGGGATCAGGTGACTCCAGGGACACCGTCATAAATTGGAGTCAGTTTGGTCAAATTGACCAAGAGGGAGGATGCAATGGACGGAAAGTCTGGAAAACGGTCATAAGTCACTATTTTTCAGTGCCGCTGTAGCCTTGAATGGTCACTAAATGAACTTTTTGTAAGTCAAGGACTACCAGTATTCCCACATCACAAAAGATAGTCAATTTTTCCCCCTTACTACCTCCCCCTTCACTGCCTGTTCCTTCTCGGAGTCTTTCAAAAGTCTTCTCAAACTCATTTCAGTGATGACGTGAAGATATCTGGTTGAAATGAAGCTGAAAGTTTCTTCCTTTTTCTGCAGCCTCCCTAACTTTCCACCTTCCAATTTATCAGAAAAGAATGGAACAGAATGGAATGGAACAGAATGGAATGGAACAGAATGGAACGGAATGGAATGGAATGGAATGGAATGGAATAGAATAGAATAGAATAGAATAGAATAGAATAGAATAAAAATATGGAATGGAATGGAATAGAATTGCAGAGAT